TTTCCTGACTTGTATTACCTGAATACAAAGCATCTGTGACAAGGAGCGTATAAGCAACTATAGTAGACAAAAATGGAAGTGTAGTCGATGATGCGTATGTCTTCAAAGTGTCATGGGTAACCCTGAAGCAGTGTCTGAAAATGAAGTTTGCCAGCAGTCCAGAGAAACTAGCTGTTGTTCCAATCATCATTGTTCTGTACATATTTAAAGTCTTTTCTTTTCTGAGATACTCAGTTTTTTTTCTATGATTTCGATGACCACCGATCTTCTGAGGTTTGCATCTCCTAGAGAAAGGCTGTGCTGACCATGTGTGTATGTTGCCATCTCAATGTCCTTGGGCGCTTCTCCGGCTCCCATGGGCACCACACCTTTCTCTCCCAGGTCAGCCCCAGCCTCGTGCCGGAGCGCCACCATCTTGGGAGCTCACATTACATATAACTTCTTTACATTTATTGTATCATAAATGTACCCTAGAAAAGCCTGCAAAACTCACAACAAAGTTTCTGGGACTCTCGCTATTGCGAGCTCAGTATTTAATCAGGCTACTCTACAGCAGCCTGTTTTCCTTAGCACCTCTCCTAGACCCTGGGAGTGAGGGAGGGATGAAGCCTGGATGGTGAAGGTGCCCTTAGCCAGGTCCCCTGCATGAGCAGCAGGATGTCCAGGGCCACTTTCATCACGGCAGTGATGGAAGAAACCCAAGGAAGCATTTTGCCAACAGCCTTGCCTTCAGGAAGAAATGCATTTGAACCATACTAAACCAAAGAGTTTATTTATATTTATGAGATCTCCTTGCATAAAAATGTCTCTAAATATGAAACTTTAGGTAAGTTAGTGAATGCCATTGGCACATCAGTTTCCACAACTTTGAAATGAATGCAAAAACGGTAACTGCCCTAAGTGCCTGTGGTGCAGACAGAAAAGACGCATGGTGCCTAATGCACAGTAATGCCTGACAGAGCTGGTGTTATCGCCCCAGGGAATGCCTTATTCTTCTACTTGAGAATGAAAGAATAAGCACTGCCTGAGGTCCAGGCATTTCATCTTTGGGCCCTGGCCTAGACTCTAAGTCTGATTAGGTCCTGAGTTCTAAGTCAGTAAATGATCTGCTACTCCCAACACTCCTCGATGTTTCAACCTTCCCTTGAAAGTTCGTGGATGCAAGAAGTTCCAATAATGCAGCACAGATACAAAGATGCACCTTCTCCTTGTGTGTGAGAACTATCCCAGGCCTCCTCAGTATTAATGGTCTTATAATTAAAAATTGTAAATGCTCAAAGTAAACAAAATAATCGAGCCTAACATGCTGGAATCTGGCTTCACGAGGATGGAGACAGCAGGCAGTTAAGTGTGGTGTAATGGAAAGAATGCTACACTAGAGTGAAGAAACTGAAGTTCAAGTGTGAGTTTGCTACTTTTAGCTGGGTAAGCAAGTTACTTCACCTCTCCTGGCCGCAATGTCCTCCGTACAGAGTTGGGGTACATAATAGGTCAGTTTCTTTTCAGCTCTAGGACTCAGTGATTCTACGGAAAGGTGAAAGCCAAGAGAATGGCTGCTGGCAGGGTCACAGTGGACATAAAGTATAAGGTGTGGGGGGGACTGAGAATACGAAGGGAAAACTGTGGGTTGGTGAGTGCAAGGATGAAGTCAAACAATAAGTCAAACATTACCTGTGATGGAGCAGACAGGGAGGAAGATAAGCTGGGCTGCACGCCTAGGAAAAGACTAATTCAGGAAAATTCTAAAGGACCAATAGCTTGGAGGATTGCTTATCTTTGGACTTGTAGTACCAGCCAGAAGGAACCTTTTCTTCAGGGTCTAGGGAGCTGAGAGAGAAAGCGTCTGGTGACCTGAGAAAGACGGAGTGCAAAACTGCTGAATCAAACTCAACTCCTATTTTTCAGGCACTGTGTAGCTACAAACTACTCACATCTGGGGTTAAGAGCTCAAACTCTGAGGATGGGCTGCCTGAGTTCAAATCATGGTCCCATTACTTGACTAGCCTTGGGGCCTTGGGCAATTGACCTAATCTCAATGTACCTCAATGTCTTTGTCTGTAAAATAGGCATAAAACAAGAACCTACTTCATAAGGATACTGTAAAGATTAGCTGATACGTGGAAAGCCCTTTGAACAGGGCCTGGCATCTGGTAAGTACTAAGTGTCATCTTATTTATTTCCTGCTGCAAAGAGGGATGTTTACATGACTCACTGCAGGTGTCACTTCATGCTCGACAGGATTCAGGGTGGGGTTTCCTGCCAGGGCGAACCCCAGAGAAACAACCTCCTTGCTGTCGCCTTCTGCTCCCTGGGTGGAGTCAAGAGGGAAAACTGCCCACCATCACGGGAGGAAACCTACCACCTTCGCTGGAGGTGCCTCTAGTACATCGCCACTGTCCTGCTGCCCCACCATCATTCCCAAAATGCCACTACGGGGAGTGTCAGCTGACCCTGGGAACACCAGACAGGCCAGCCCTTAAGGAAAGAAGACAGCCCAGGGCTTTCCCTTGGGAGCTGACTCTGCCACAGCCCTCTCCTCCGCATGCACTTCAAAGGTACTTTGAAGTAATGCGTGCGAAGGGAAGGGCAGCTGTTTTTTGGTACCATGGCATTAGGAATGAGAGTTGAACTTTTTTACTTTCCTGGCCCTCTTAAATTAATTCTCCCCAATATATTTCTTTTTATTCCCTATACCATGATGCATTCTTAAGTTTCTTTCCAAGTGTTATGCAAATGCTATGATCTTTATAGGTCTATAGCGTCCCAGAATTATCACACACAGGGAAATAAGGGGTGTCAATATTCACATTACAAGTAAAAGCAGCCCTTGAATAGAATCAAAAACATTTAAGAGCTAAAACCACACCCTTCCAATGTTCTCTCTTTACAACTGAGCTCTAAGGACTCATTTTATTTCCATCTGCAAGGCAAAATATTTATTTGGAGTGGACCAAAAAAAATCAGCTTGTTGACAAGACACTAACATTCCTTGAATTTTTAAACTCCAATTTAAAAAATGAGCAATCATGTCCCTTTTATTATTGGGTTGGCCAAAAACTCCATGTGGTTTTTTCTGTAAAATAAAAGACACAATTTTCATTTTCACCAATAACTTGACTGATTTGGATATTTTGAGTATGTCGGCTATGTCCCATATGGTATAACAATTATTTTCAAGTAATGTCTCAATTTGATTGCTATCAACTTCAACTGGTCTACGTGACCATGGAGCATCATCCAGTGAGAAATTTCCAGCACAAAACCTTGCAAACCACTTTTAACACATTCAATCAGTCACAGTGCCGTCTCCATACACTGCACAAATCTTTCTTTGCATTTGAGTGGTGTTTTTAACTTTCTTGAAATAGTAAAGCATAATATGCTGAACACTGCTTATTTTCTTCCATCTTCAATATTATAACTGCTACATAAAAAGTTCACCAATTTGTTTTTTTTAATGCATGCTGATTGCAGTACACAGTACAATCTAACAAAATTGTTTCAAATGAAGTTAAAGACAACTAAGCGCTACTAGAGCCACCTCGTGGAAAAAAACCAAACGAACTTTTTGGTTAACCCATTTTTTCTTAATTCAGCAGCCTATGAAGATTTACTTTCTAGGGCAAGGAAAACAAAGTAAGTGCCATCATCAAGCTGGCCTTAAAAGCCACACTGACTCCCTCTGACGGGCGAAGAGCAGAAGACGCCTTTCAGGAGCGGGCGAGAGGAGGAAGCCCAGGAGCCGGACCTCTGAGGACCCGCACGGCTGGCCCGACTGAGCAGCTGCTCTGGCTCTTTCCCCTGCGTGTGCGCTGGACCTTCCTGACAGGAACTGGAAACTTCATTTTTTTGAGCTTTGTTGATGAATTTTTCAAAAACAACTTTCCCAATCAATACAGGAAGTTGTATTTGGAATTAAAAACAAAAACTCACGAGGTGACTGTTTGACTTATGATGTTTCCTTTCTCTGATTTTGACATAATTTTGGAACTCTTTCCACGATTTCCTCAAGTGTACAACAAGTCTCCACAGGAGACCCAAGCCACGTGATGATTTTCATGACTGATTAGTCTTTGATTACGAGTACAAGGCTTAGCTTCAACTGGCACATTCTTTCTGAAGACAACAAACATGTTTTCTGAAGAGAACACGTCTTTCCTAAATAGTTATGCTGGCTCTCAAGGTTTCACGGTCACACGGGAGTTTTGTGATCATTTATGATATTAATTTACACATTCCTTCGTATGGGCAAATAACATTAAAACCACTAAAAAAGTAAACTTCCCAAATAATATCTTGTAGTCTTTCTCAAAAAAGTAAATTTTAAGTCTTACCACATGTTTCACCATTCTCAAAGGAACCTCCTCAAAGGATCTGTGAGACGAGGAATTCCTATGCTGTCATTGATGCAATGTTACCAAATGTACATGTTTCTTAAATTCAACTTATTGGCAAAACTGTACATTCAGGAACACTAAATAAGTAAGTACACTGTGAGAAAGAGAGACAAGACTACATTGGAAGAGCGGGAGATACCCAGGCAAAAGCCCAGCCCAACAGGCCGTGTGCTGTTGGAGGACCTGATTAAAAGCAAGCTGAACTCAGATGCTTTCCATAAATCAACAGCTACTTGTTAAAGTATCTATTAGGGATTGGGATCACAGGAAAGAAAAAAGATAGTAAAGATACATTCAAACCCTTCCTGTGAATAAAAACACTCATCCCCACCATGTGTGTTTCGGATTCAAGGTTTGAATTTGGCTCCATCAGGTATGTTCTTCGGACGAGATTAAGGCTCTTAATCTCTTTGAGCCTTAGTTTCTCAATATGCAAAATGAAGAAAATAAAACCTATCCCAGAGTTTTAGTAAGGACTGAAATTAAATGAAACAATATAGGAAAAGTACCTCTCATTAGATGTCCATAAATGTTATTTCCTTTCCCATCTTATACAGTATTGTCAAGAAGGCTGTATCTCTTAAGTAGTAATGCAGCATCTACCTGGAAAGGATCTGTCTTCATTGTGACCATGCAGAGGAACTCCGTTATTCTCTAACATATACTTCTTGGTAATGGGCAAGGACAGTATCCGGATGTGACGGATGAGTAAGCGCCAGGTGTGAGCTCCAGAAAGCACTGGTTCTGGTGGTAATGGGCTGAAAAGTTGAATCATAAAGTAGGCAGTGAGCAAGATGAATCCCAGGGTTCCAATGACCTACAAGGAGAGACAGGAAAAGGATTAGTGCTTATCCCAGCAAACAAAATACTTTAATGCCAAGAAAAGAACAGCCCTCTTCTGCTATTTCCAATGTGCTTTAAGAACTAATCCATCTCCTTAAACAAGCCATTTATATTCACTTCTGAAAGCACTGAAAGTTTGAGAACCATGAGGACTGCAAGGCTCACCAAGCTTCTATCATATAACCGGGTGGTATGTACACCATTAAAAAGATACACAAGTGGAGATTAACTATAAATACACAGCTTTCATCTAGGACATTTAACAAGATAGTCAGATTTCCTAGTAACACATGGTAACAAGAGTAAAGGCCAATTTATTCATAGAGAAACCAAGGTGCAATGGTGGACTCAGTCACAGTAGTATTCGGGGAGAAAGTTGAGGAGTTTGTGCCCCATCTAAGCTTGTCCAAGTCAGAACACATTTTTACCTTATATATAGCTATAAGGAGAGGATACTGGGGTGGCGTTCTCTGAGGTTCATTCTTTTCCAACAGCTGTCTGATAAATTTTTCAATTGCCTTTTCTGACATGCCACATTGATGGCCTGTCTGTCTCACAAAATCGACAGTCTCTGAAAGTTTGTCATAAATGCTGATCTCATTGGCAGCAAGATCCATGTCTTCCAATGCAAAATCCCTGAGAGAGAAAACAAATGTAAAAGGAAGGATGGTTTCTTTAAAGTACTTTCTTTTCAAAGCCACTTGCTTTCAAACAATGCTTCTTGACCATCCGTGTGGAAGAACAGTTTTGTGCTTTCCCAATCCACTGCAGGCCAATGCTTTTATAAAACATGATGAACATGTAAGACAATCTCAAGGTAGTGCTACACAAGTTTTTAGGTGTGGTTAAGTGTAAGCTAGTAACAAACGGTTTACAGACCTGTGCTGGGACCCAAACACTTTGAGCAGCACTGGTCTACAACACAATAAATCTCTAACAGCTCTGTGAAACAGCCATCCCAAATGATTTCTGAAACTTATCACAAAAGATCTGGTATTGGTGATCTGCTATTGGTGATTTATTAAAATAAAAAGAAATAGATAATGGAGAATGCTGTTGATCAATTATTTCTTTCCATTTATACCAGAGAGACCTGTGAAACAAACAAACAAACAAAAATTAACTTCCAAGGCCAAAAGTCTTTTTGTAAGTAAGGTTTTATTGAGACAAAAATGCCAGCCAAAAAGAAGACTGGTCTCGGGGCATGGAGTTTAAACTACCAGCAGCACGGACAGGTAGAAAAGACAACATGCCCGTTGTCCCAGGGTTCTGCAAGCATTTTTATACATCAAGCAAGGGCAAAGAAAGAAGAAAGAGGCACCGTGAAAAAAATTGACATTAACTATGGACGAAGGGTAGGAGAGGGGGAAGCGGGGCCAACTCTGGGACAGAGGCAGAGAAAAAGTGTCCTGTAGACAGGCTGCCGCAGCAGTCTGAAAACACGCGGAGGCTCCAGGAGTTTCACGGTGCCTGATTGAAATAATCTAGCAAATAGCCATCTAGAAATTAATCAAAGTTCTAACAGGCACTGGAAAAAATGTTAACAGTCTTTTGTTAGCTAACCCCCAGGCATTAACAGACTAACAATTCTGCCTCTTTCACTCTCTGGTTTGGGCCCTGTAATTTAATTTAGAACATCTCAGAATTTTCTCCTTAACAGACCTTTTAGCAACACAAGAGGAGGGACTGATCACGAAGGCAAGGTTTACTCCGAGGAAGGTGCTGATCTGCTCTGCTCCCGGTAGAGCAAGGATTTCAGGCAACACAAACACCGCGGCAGGGGAGCCCTTCAGACCTTGCAGGCTGCAGTCCTCATGCCTTTCCATAAACACAGTTTTAGACAGCAAAGGGCATTTCATTTGTATTTTACATACTTAAAAGACCAAAAATCTATGACTAATTTCAAGATCCAACTCATTCTCACAGTTATTTTAAAGACAAATAGTTTCAAGGTGGCTATAAAATCAAAGGTAAAATGGCAAGAATTCTCTTTGCATCATTTGTAAAATGAATTTAGTTCTTTTAAAAAAGTGCTTTTGTTATAAAACATTATTTTTCTTCATTTATAGTAGGAAAAGCAGTGCTTGGGATTTATGCTGTCTTCTATTTTTTTTTAATGCAGAAAGTCCTATTATTTCACATACTGCATCCTCAAAGAGCTTCTAATCTCAAAAACCACTGGCATGGTACAACTCTATTTTCCAGTAAGGAGATGCCACCACCTGTAGAGCAGAGGACAACAGTCATGTAGGTCCAGCAGAGACAAGGAGGCCTGAAGGCCACACAGCAGTCCACTTCAGCATCTCTCTCTTCCAACAGCACCTGCTAAGGACTCCTGTTTGGTCCTCTTTGTGACTATAAACCTTTTAACTCACTAGTTCTGAAGCATGCTTCCACACTAGACTCACCTTAAACAGAGCTTTTAACAAATGCTATTAAATCAGACTCAGACTTCGAATGGCAGGTCATGTAGACTTTGAGGAACTGGGAGAGGGAAGGAAGAACACCACGCACAAAAGGGGACACATCCTTTCCCCAAACTGTGTGCTCTAGCTCAAACTCATTTTGTAAGGCCATATACGCCTCCATTTCAAGGTTTATATAAAAGCATGGCATGAACTCTATTTAAAAATGTATATTTTCAACAAATGCTGCTGGGACAATTTGATATCCACATGCAAATGAATAAAGTTGGACCCTACCTTCTACCTTATCTAAAAATTAAATCTAAATGGATCAAAGGCCTGAACTTAAGAGGTAAAACTATAAAACTCTTAGAAGAAAATGGGAAAATTTTCTTGACACTGGATTATGCAATGGCTTAGATGTTATCAAAAGCATGAGCACCAAAAGATAAGTTGGACTATGTCAAAAATGAATAATTTTTGTGCTGCAAATGATCAAGAAAGTGAAACATCCCACAGAATGGGGGAAAATATTTGCAAATTATGTGTCTGATAAAGTCCTACATTCAGGTACATAAAGAATTCTTGCAATTCAGCCCTAACTGGTATAAATTAGTTAGTTGGGTGATGTCCTGGTTCAATTCCCAGTAAGGGCACATGCTTGGGTCACAGGTTCAGTTCCTGGTCAGGACTTGTGTGGGAGGCAATTAATCGATATTTCTCTCCTTCTCTTTCTCCTTCCCTTTCCCTCTCCCTAAAAATAAATAAATAAAATCTTAAAAAAAGAATTCTTACAATTCAATAATAAAAAGACAAATAATCCAATAGAGGACTTGAACAGACATTTCTCCAAAGAAGATATAATACAGATGGCCAATAAACTTATGGAAGACATTTGGTGTCATTAGCCATCAGGGAAATACAAATCAAAACCACAGTAAGATACCTCTCCCCACTTACTGGGGTGGATATAATATAAGTCAGATAATAACAAGTGTTGACAAAGATGTTGAGCAATTGGAACTCTTGTACACTGCCGGGAATGTACAATGGTCCAGTCGCATTGGAAAACCGTTTGGCAGTTCCTCAAAAAATTTAAACAGTTACCATATAACTCAGCAATTCAACTTTTAAGTATGACCCCAAGAGCATTTAAAATATGTTCACACAAAAATTTACACACGGATGTTTAAGCAGCATTATTCATAACAGCTCAAAAGTGGAAGCAATCCGAATGTCCATGCACTGCTGCATGGACGGGTAAACTGAGGTCCATCCACACAGTGCAGTGTTACTGAACAGTAACATGGAGTGAAGTGTGGACACAGGCTACAACACAGATAACCCTTGAAAACACTAAGTAAAGAAGACAGTCTTAAAAGACCACATGTTATATGACTGCATTTATAGAAAAAGTGAAAAATAAACACATCTATAGAGACAAAAAGTACATTAATTAGTGGTTGTCTAAAGGAGAGGGTGGGAGGAATGGGAAATAACTGACAGGGTTTCTTTCTAGAGTGACAAAAATGTTCCAAACTTAAATTGCAGTGAGGACTGCAAAACTGTGAATATACTAAAAAAACCACTGAATTGTGCATTTTAAGTGGGTGAATTTTTTGGCATATACATTATACCTCAATAAAGACTTTTTAAAATGTATATTTATAGAATTTGAACTTACCCCTGTTGTGGCATTTATTACATTATCATGATTCTGCTAAGTTACTTGGTCTATTTCCTAAATCCAAAAATCAGAAGATTGAACCAGAAGGTTTTTTAAGTCTCTTCTAGCTCTAAAATTTTAAGAGTGTATGAACACTTCAGGAAGGAGAACAATACATTCTCAGTAAATTCTCAGGAAGGACAACAAAAAAATCTCAGTAAATTCATTGGAGCAGTCCCTTAGGAAAGTGTGATGAATCCCATTTCACAGACGCTGAAACTAAGGCTCAAAAGGATTGATTACCCCCCAGGACACGAACCCAAGTGTGACTTCAGGGTTGGTGCTTTTGACCTGTATGCAGGCTGCCTCCCTTACCAAGTATTTTCCTATTCTGAGACGGCAGTTCCGAAACCACAACACCGTGGCCTTTGATTATCACAACTGAGTGGCTGAGAACTGGGCAGTTACCAGCGACAATGAGTCCTGGAAAAAGAATAAAGCGATAACTTATTACAACAGTTTTCACATCTTGGTTTTGTGGACTAATGATTCCAGAGATAGATTTTTCCTAGCAAATTAACAAAGATATTCTAAGCAAGCAAGCAACCAACCAAGCAAGTAAGCAGGAATAATGTTCACTTAAGCACACTACAATAAATTATCCAACATTACCTAGTCAAAATCAATTAAAACTCAGTAGAGGGCTAGCAGAGAGCATAGGGAATTGTAGAAAAAAACCTAGTAAAAACTTTTGAGAAAATCGGGCAGTGGGGCACAGGTAGAACCCCGGGGCAGAGGAGAACATCACACTGGTGCACGCAACAGACTGCCGGTGAGGCTAAAAGGAGCAACTATCATCAATTTTGATAACTCTTTTACAACTTTTGCAAACCTCTGTCCACTTTTGATACGCATAACAATCTCACCAAACACCTAGTTTAAATTGCAAAAACAAGTGTCTTTTTTATAATGCAAGTATACAATGATATTACGATACTGAACGTATTTTTGCAAACTGTACATCCTTCTTCCCTGATATTCTAACACACTTCCCAAGTTATTAGAAGGGTAGTTACTGAAAATTTACTGCAATTTCTAAGAGCACGTGGGAGTCTTGATAATAAGCCCTCCTTTTGCCTCTGGTTCTCAACTAGGGGGATTCTGCCCCGCCCACCCCCACCCACACATCTGGGGACCTTTGGAAAGTCTGCAGACATTTTTGACTGTAATACTTGAGGGGTACTACTGGCATCTAGTGGATATGATGTTAATTAAATAACAAAAATCTTGTCTTTTGGTCGGTTTCATACTGCCAGAGCAGCTCCCTCCCTGCGATCTAGTGAAAGTCAGCCCTCAGACACAAGAGTTTGCATAAAAATAAAACCATATCCCTTAAAAAAAATCAAACATAAAGTCATGGCTAAACATCAAATATGTGGGGACTGAGTGAAATCAGCTGAGGCTTGTTACAATCCCTTTACCTCTAGAAAGCAGGTCTGACTTTGGCAGAAATGAGTTTTGCTACAGAGGGAAGTTCTGAAGAGTGAGTTTGACTCTTAACAGTGGCTTATACCTGCCAGGGCATAGGCAGGATCACTAGCAGCATTACAAAAACCAAGGTTCCACGCAGGTACCACTCTGGACATGCTGAACTGTCAGAACCACTGGGAGAGCAGTTCTCCCTGCTGACCAGAGGAACACCCCCAACAAGGAGACACTGCTTTAGAACAGTTCTCAACTAGGGGTGATTCTGCTCCCCAGGGGAGATCTGGTGATGTCTGAGGATATTTTTGATGGTCAAAACTGAGGGGGCACTACTGGCATCTAGTAGGTGAAGACTAAATACCCTATAGTGCACAGGGCAGACCCTACAGTGAGGAACTGTCCTGCTCAAAATGTTACAAGAGCTCTGAGATGGCTAAAGCCTGCTTCCAAGAGAGGCCTGGGGGAGGTAAGCCAGGGGGAGGGGCTGTCTACTTTTGAAGGAGTACTTCAAGAATAGGAGGAAGAAACTGAGAGCTCTAATGAAATGTTCTCCATAACTCCTTCTGGGTCTAAGTATAGGAAAAAAACAGGACAGAGTTGTAATAGAATGACTCTAATAAAACTTATCAATAAAAATGTTTAAGGCAGAAAACAGGTTAAGAGTTCAGACTAAATGTAAACTTCTCCTTTGCTCTGTTTAATACAGAATTCCTCTAGTGATATAAATATGTCCTAAATACTGATGTAACAAAAGCCTGGAGGTTCTCGGTTTTCCAAACTAAACAGCTATGCCAGCTCAGCAACTCTAAGAGGCAATGCTGATTCATTTAGATAAAACACAAACAGGGAAACACTACAGTTGAGAAATAAAGTTCCAAAAGCCCATCTAAATATGTCCCAGTCTTCAGCAATGGGCACAATATCCATAGAAATATTTTGTTTTTCCCCTACTAGGCTCTTTAGTATTATGCTACCTATGTAGTATGATAATCCATTGTTTAGTGTTATAATATATTCCATTATATTTTGTCCAGTGATCCCCATTAATTGAAGGTATGTTCTACTACAGGGGAAAAATGTGGTCTTTGGATTATAATAAAAACCACTAAGCAATAACAGACATACTTAAAGAAAAAATAATTGATAAAATATAACTTAAAAGAGTAGCAAATTAAAACTGCAATAAGTACTTAAACTTTACAATGGAGAGAATTCTATTTTTTTCACTCTTATCATCACTTGAATCTAACGGTCCCCTTTCTGGCCATCTCTGCCCAATGAGATTTGAAGAGTCTAGGACTTTTTTCACTCGCTGAAAATATGCCTCTTCATTATTTTCCCAACTTTTTATGTTGAAAATTTCAAGCCTCCAGAAACACTGAAACAGACAATGAACATCTGTATATCCTTAGATTCACCAATTGATAACACATGGCCGTATTTGCTTTCTGTTTGTCTCTGTTTTTACCAGAACTATTTGAAAGTTAGTTGTGACACATCACAAAATCACTTCTAAATGTTTCAGGATGCATTTTCTAAGAATAAGGACATTATTTTATAGAACATTAGGCATCGTTATCATAACTATTAAAATGACTAATTCTCTAATGTTACCTACTATCCAGTCCGTAGTCAAATTTCCTTTACTGTCCCTCCAAAAAGGTCATATTGCTTTTTAAAAAAAAATTGATTTGAGAGAAAGAAGGGGAGAGAGAGAAACATGGATTTGTGGCTTCACTCGTTTATGCATTCATTGGTTGATTCTTGTAGGTGCCCTGACCAGGGATTGGAATGTAACCTTGGCATATCAGGATAACGCTCTCACCAACTGAGCTACCCAGCCAGGGCCCATATTTCTTTTTAGAAATCTAGGACCCAACCAATGTGCCACACATCACAGTTAGCTGTTGGGTCTCTTTGGTCAACTCAAATCTAGGACAGATTCTGTTTTGTTTTTTCCCTCGTACGACATAGACATCTTTGAAGCAGGAGCCCCCCACATTAAAAAACTTATATCTACTTGCTCCTATCCTCACCTTTCCACTTTCCACTATTTAAAAAATAATAATGCTTCCTCTTTAGACTTCCAATGCATGCACTGTATTCTCTCTTTGGAGCCAAGCTCAAAAAAGAAAAAAGGAAAAAGAAAGCATCACTTCATCTTATTTCTCAAGTCTCCATTCATTTATTAACCTGTTAAAATCATATTTCTGTCCCCCTCACACCACTGATACTGCTTTCACTAAAGCCACTAACGGCTTTCTACATGACAAGTCCAAAGGACGTTTTTTCAGTTACCAACTTACCCGATCTCTCTGCAGCAGCTGCTGTAGCTATCCATTATCCCTATCAGGTGCTCTCAAACCTTGGCATAATTCTCTAGTTCTCTTCCCAGAGTCTCTGTGCCTGAATGTTGGTATTAATCATAGCTGCCCTTGACCTTCTCATTCCCTCCATGGCTTTAACAACCAGCTGTTAGTAAGCCCCAAATCTCTTCTCCAATCTAGAAAACTCTCCCGAACTCACGACCCAAATTTCCTACAGTCCCCTACATGTAATGTGTCCATAACTGACTTATTATTTTTCCCCTGCAACCGATTTCTCCAACTACATTCCTTTTCTTAATAGAAACACCAGTTCTCCAAATTTAAAACCTCTCCTTCTCCTTTCTCATCCTCACCAATAAATCAATCACTAAATCATCAATTCTACCTCTATCGTTCTCACATTCATCACCTCCTCTTTAGCTCTACATTAATGGCAGTTAAGGCCATAAACCTCTCTCCCATGGACCATCACAAAAATGTATTTAATCTCTACACATTCAGGTTATCTTCTCTTGGCTAATCTACCCTTGATCCTCAACACTCGTTATTCTTCTGTAACACAAATTGCTTCACATGACTCATCTGTTTAAACTCCTTCCTTGATTCCGCATGCCCTGCTGGGGAACAATCAAGCATGGTGGTTAAGAATACAGGCACTGGAGCTGGAAAAAGCTGAATGAAATACCAGATTCTCCATCTACTGTGTGGCCAGGAGACAGTACTTAACTTCTCCAAGCCCCAGTTTTCATTATAAAATGGGAGTAAGTATGTCTTTCCAACAGTGTTGTTAAGGAATTGTAAAATGATGTATGTAAAACATTTGTCCCAATACTCAAATTAAATTGTTGTAAGACTTACTAATTGTTATAAGATTAAGTCCAAATTACTTAGCAAGGCCCTTTATAATGTGGTCACTGCCTACCTGTTCGTTCTCATTTCCCGTTCCTTCTTCACATTCTTTACTAACATAACGTTTCACATCTTTTTCTTTCATACATATAATTCCCTCTGCTTACAAAGCCTAGCCCTCAGTGCTTTGTCCAATGATTGAACTCTTTCTTCCAACCTTGATTTTAAAACCTTTTCAAACTTTGAACCTTAAACACAACTCTTATCACTTCATATTACATCTATCTTCTCTCTCACACACACTAAATCTTTTCTCAAAAGCAGAGATAAATAGAGGCAATAACAACATGGGAAACTAAAAACAGACATGCAAATTCACCTAAGAGATGTGGAACCTCATCAGTGTCTATGGAACAAATTTACAGAAAGGACCTAAGCCCTGGCTGGTGAGGCTCAGTGGACTGAGTGCCAGCCTGCAAAGCAAGGGGTCGCTGGTTTGATTCCCAGTCAGAGCACATGCCTGGGTTGTGGGCCCAGTCCCCAGCAACCACACATTGTTTCTCTCCCTGTTTTTCTCCCTCCCTTCCCCTCCAAAAACAAATAAAATGTTAAAAAAAAAAACAAAGAAAGAAAAAGAAAGGACCTAAAATGATCATTCTGTTCTCAGACTAATTTAATGTAATTATTGGTTTATTGATTTTACTTTCTATTCTTCTATTTTTAAAATATATATTAGCCTAATGAAGATTTAGGTAGGCAGGTCAGGAACCTTATACTGAACATTCTCTGTGGTGCTGTAAGGTAGCTGTAAAGGAAGTGATTAAACCTGGGTCTTGAAAATTGTTTTGGTCCAATGCAGAAAGGGCAAACAGGGCCTCTCTCTGGTATGCAAGTTGGGCTATGTGAACTTCAGTCAAAACTTTGATGTACTGAAAGAGACCGAGTTTTGCCACCCTAAAGTTCCTTTCAGGATATTGATTTTAAGTTGGTAATTAGGCCCTGGCTGGCGTAGCTCAGTGGATTGAGCGCGGGCTGGGAACCAAAGTGTCCCAGGTTCGATTCCCAGCCAGGGTACATGCCTGGGTTGCAGGCCATAACCCCCAGCAACCGCACATTGATGTTTCTCTCTCTTTCTCTCTATCTCCCTCCCTTCCCTCTCTAAAAATAAATAAATAAAATCTTTAAAAAAAAAAAAGTTGGTAATTAAAAGACTCAAAGCACCTTTAACCCTCCCCCACTTTCCTACCTGAGAGTCAGATGGAAAAACTTGCTTCAGGAAGGGAACCTTAACATAATCACCTTAGCTTTAGACTGGAAGACTCCAAGCAGGAGCCAATCCCTTCCACCACCACTGTTTTCTGGGTCGCCTAGCAAAAACTTACCTGCCAAGTGTGTTCCGCTCTTCCTCAATCACTTGTAAATCGCTCGATCTCACTTTTTAAATTTAAGATTCCACCCCCCTCCCCTTTGTCCAAAATGACAAATATGCCTATTTGCCTCACTGTCTTGGGGCATTTCATGCTTGTGTGAATTCTCTGTACATACATAACAAAATTTTGGTTTTCTCCTCTTAATCTGATTATTAGTCCAGCTAGGAGAACTTAGAAGATGTGTGGGAAAATATCACTTTATATTTTATATTACAACCCCCACAATTTCAAAGCTGAATTTAGGTTAAGGCATGTTGTTCCTTAGGGAGAAAGTGTGATAACTCAAAACTCAAACAAATTTATTAATAAAGAGATGTTCATATAAGATTCCACCATGTGAACAACCAAATGACCAACCAGATAAAGTCATAATACCTCAGAGAGGTGTTTATTATAAGGTGATGACAAAAGAAATATATTTTTGAATACCAAGTCTACGTGAGCTCTTAGAGTAGAAAACGTGGCGTTTGTAAGGTTATTGGCCTTTAAATACTATGCATTGAAGAACGCGAATTTCCTTGTACTAAAAGGCAATTACATGCCCTGGCTTGTGTGCCTCAGTGGATTGAGCCATCAGTCTGCGAACACGGTTGGATTCCTAGTGAGGGCTTATGCCTGGGTTGCGGGCCAGGTCCCCAGTAGGCGGCGTGGGAGAAGCAACCGCACATTGATGTTTCTCTCCCTCCCTCCCTCTCTCCCCTTCTGTCTAAAAATAAAAAATAAAATAAAATAAAATAAAAGGCAATTACAAACAGCTCATTTATTCAGGTCAATACACCAAGTCATATTCCTTTCTGAAATCCAAATGCCATGCTCATCAAATACCAAATTCACACTGGGGAAAAAAAACCCTCTTTAACAACTAGAAAGATGTTTCGGAGGGGGTCAAAGAATCTCATCTCAATATACAAAAGAAAAAAAATCTGTCAAAAGGGCAATGAAACCTACACTTCGCTAGCATTTGTCATGTTTTGGACACTGCTGTGGTGGCTACGAAACAAGTAGGGTGGACCTCGCTTTGCTATTAAAGGGAGAACGAAGGAAAACAGGGCAGATGTCTTAAGGAAGTCAACCCCGGAGAGTTGCTAGGGGATGCCATCAGTCTGCAAAACGCCAGAGGCTCAAAAAAGGTGTCAGCGTAGGGACGAGAAGTGGCTTTCGGAGCAGGGGAGGGGCTGCGCGAGAATGTCACAAACGGGCGCGGCGGCGATGTTGTCACTGAGCGACCTCCCCCTCCCGGCCTCGGGCCCCAGTCACTCACTTGCAGGGCCCGCGCCCCCCAGCGCTCCTCCCGCCTCGGGACAGCAGCTGCCGGGCAAGAAGCCGATCACTTCCTGTTTCCCTGCGCGCAACCCGGAAGCAACCCACACGCTACAGGCGGTACCGCCTGCTCTGGGGTAGCTCTTTCACTCAGACTCGCGCTTCCGCCAAAAACGGGACGTGCGTTGTCGGGAATTCTCGCGATATCTGGAGCGGATTCTTGCTCCCTCTGGTGTTCAGTTTTTCATTTTCAATGCTTCCCAGTCCTTGTCAAAATCTGCGGTCTGCTTGCGATAACACAGACTAAATACCCGAATTGATTAATTCAACAAGCATTAATTGAGCCCTCTACTGCATGCCAGGCAGTGTGACAGGCAATAAAGGGTAGGCGGGAAACGGATACGTAAATGGAGGGCAGGCCTTTACCTCCGGGAGCTCCTTCTCTAAAAAAGACCAGCAGATAACTCAAATTTACACATGGCCCACTCAGTATTTTTTGAGAGCTTCCTTTGTGCTGAACATTACTAAGCACTTTATATTAGTGAAACCGCCCCAACAACCCTATGAAAAAAGTTGCCCTACAACATTTTCCCTCAAGCTGAGATTTATGGAAAGGTTAACTCGTTGAGGTTACTAAATACAGCATATAGAGTGGTGGGGTCACGATTTGAACCCAGGCTACTTATCTTGCCCTGCCTTCAGTGCTGAAGATTTTAATTGCTTTCTACAAGAAATCTGCAAACAAAATGCTACTGGGTTCAGCCTAATAAAGCTACAGCTACAAAGGCAGTGGGATATTGAGGCAGGTATAGGCAAACCAATTAAGCAGAACAGAGAAACCAAAAACGGAACCACTCATATTTAGACACTTGCTTCATGACAAAGAGATTAATAGAGTGAGGAAAGGATAATAGGTTCAATAAATAGTGCTGGGTCAGCTGTGTATCCATATAGGAAAAAATGAAATGACTCCTGTCTCACCTTATATACTAAAATAAATTCTATGTTCATTGTAGATCTATATGAGTAAAATGAAACAAAACTTTAAAGCAGTTCTGTCCAATACTGTCACCATGCAAGTGACTACTGAATACTTGAAATGTGGCTATAGGAATTAAGATGATCTGTAAGAGAAAAAATTGATACATTGGACTACATTAAAATGAGAAACTTTTGCTCATCAGAAGACACAATGAAGAGAATGAAAAGGCAAGATGTAGAGTAAAAGAAACCAGCAAAGAGGTTGTGTCTAGGATATATAAAAGAACTCTGCAAATTAAAAAAAAAGCCAAATAGAAAAATGGTCTGAAGATTTGAACACGAAAATATGCTGTCACAAAAGAGGACATCTAAATGGCAAATACACGTGAAAATGTGTTCAATTTCATTAATCATCAATTGTCAGGCAAGTGATCACTAAGATAATATATAGGCTCCAGAATTGCTTAATGAAAAAGATTGGCAACACTAAGTGTTGGCAAGGGAGCAAAGCAACAGCAACTCACACACTGCTGGTAGGACTGTAAATTGCTACAGCTATTTTGGAAAACAATTTGATGTTAACTACCAAATTGTAATATACACTTAACGTGTTACCCAGCAATTCTACTTCCAGGTATATACCCCCCAAAAATCATGCACAAGTGCAAAAGGTGCATACGAGAATATTAATAACATCATCATTTGTAACAGTCACAGTATGGAAACATCCCAAATGCCCACAACCAACAGAATAAATACATTGTAGTATATTCATGCAACAGAAAACACTGAAAAAATGAAACAATGTCCACTACATACAACAACATGGATATATCTCACAAACATGTTAGACAAAAGAATATGGAGACATGAAAATACTTTATGACTCCATTTATATAAATTTTAAAATCAGGGAACTAATTTAAAACTACTGTATTTTTCAGACTATAAGACATACCCCCCAAATTTTATAGTCCGAATGTAGCTTACCTGAGTTGCTGTGTGGGAGGGGGTGGCTGTGGAGTAGGGTCGCAGGTTATTAAATGTTTTACCACAGTTTTTGCTTCAAAATTTTTTTTCCCATTTTCCTCCTCTAAAATATAGGTGGGTCTTATGGTCCGGTGTGTCTTATAGTCCTAAAATATCTATGAATTTAGAAAGTAGTTACCTTTGGGGTGTGAGGAGAAGCACTGATTGATGGAAGTGCTTTTGTGGAGTTGGAACATTTTCTTGTTTTGATGGTGGTTGCACAGGTGCATTTATTTTATTTTGTAATAATTAATTGGACTGTGACACTTAGTACCTGTCCACTTTTCTGGATGTATATAATACTTCAATTTAAATTTTTACTTTAAAAAAAAGTGCTCTGGGGACTCCAGATACCCCAAGGATCCCATGTCTTTCTTGCCCTTCCTATCACCTGAGCGGCACTTCCAATGTACAAATCTGATTCTGCCCTTTTGCGAATCCCTATTGCCCTCAAAATCAAGGTCCAGGATCCTGTATGATTTCCTTACACTCAACTCTAGTACAGACAAAGAAATTTCTGGCTTCTCAGGTTTTTTATTCTCTACATCTTCAAAGAAACCTCTCCTGGCTTCAACATTTTCCAGATCTCAGCTCAGGTCATCACCCAGAGAAATCTCTGACCACCTAAGGCCAGCTCTGAGCCAACCAGAGCTGAGCACTATGTGCTTCCTTATTACAGCTCTCATATCACTCTCCTGCAGCTGTGAGTTTAATTGTCTTCTCTCCTAGAATATGAATTACTTTGGGGCTGAGCACAGTGCATGTGACCCATCTCTACCTTCCTCAGTGCCTAGTGGCTGGTAGGTGTGCCAGGAAAAGATTAAGGGAGAAAGTGAGCTTGGAGATGGCCAGTAAGGATTCAGACTTTGGAGCTTGAAAATGAACATTTCAGGCACATTCTGGGAACTTGGTATGTTAATCTTTCTGGCTGAGGCGGAGGCTACCCATAGAAGAAAAAACAATCTTTAAAGATCACCTCTGCATAGCCAGGAAGGTCTTGAATGTTAGGACTTTCATCTGTGGGCAATGGGGAACCATTGCAGGTTTCTGACCAAGGGTGTGACAAGGTCAGAGCTCTGCTATGGACATACACATCCAGTGGAGGAGGAAGGCTAGATTGGAAAAGGAAAAATTAACATTGGAAAATTCAAGGGAAAAACAACTTTGATGATCTAGGTAAAAGGAATGGGAGAATGAGACTCTACTTAAGAAACATTTCCCAGGTAAAACAGGTCAGAAAGGCTGCCAGGTAGCAGAAAAGGCTTAGAAGACAGCAGGAGAAAGGCTTGGGTTGCAGGACACAAGAAATCCTGATGCACTCGGAAGCTGATTGCTTCCTCCTGTCAGTCACCTCAGAGCCTTCCACTTAAAACCTGGCTAGTGTAGATGGAGAACAGATTATGAGTATGTAAGTGCTTGGTAACCTGTAGTGTGTAGGGGGATGTGGCTCAGGGAATGTAACGAGTCTGGTGGCCCTGGCTAGTGTGGCTCAGTGGGTTGGGCATCATCTGGCAGAGTGAAAGGTCACCAGTTTGATTCTTGGTTACAGCACATGCCTGGGTTGCTGGCCTGTCCTGGGGGGGTGGGCATGTGAGAGGCAACTGATCAATGTTTCTCTTACATCTCCTTTTCCCCTGTCTCTAAATATAAATAAATACATAAAATTTTTAAAGTGGCATCTGGTAGGACAATAGTGATTATTTGAGACATAGGAGGAGGAGCTGGTTTGGAGGCGAGGATAAGGAAAGAAATGATGGGTAAATCTCATTTCTTTAGTGTTGGCTTCTCTCTGTTGAGATTTAGAAAAGTCCTTGACAAGGTTCCCAGGTAACAGCACCCTGTGTAACAGAACTGCTCGTTTGTGGATTGTTGTCTTCGTTCCTCTCAGCCATTGGAGACTCTCCGTGCTGGTCTGGAAAAGGCCCCGTGCGAACGTTGAACTGTAGTGAACTAGGCCATGGTCCCTAATGTGGGCTATTAACATTTTATTTGGGAAGAAGAGAATCTGACACAAGCAGTTAGACACCAATGGAAGGTGGCACAGATTTAAAGACTAAGAAGAGAGAAGGGAAGAAAGCCTATTGTAGGCGGGAAGAATAGAGAGGTACTCTGAAGGAGCTGGGACAGAGGCATGGTGAGGTTTGGGAAGCATTGCAAATAAGGAGAACAGCCTTGGCAGAGGCCTGGGAGAGGGAATCTCAGCAGCACATTTAAGCATGGATAAAATAGTAGGAAATCAGGCAGGAGAAGTCAGTAAGGGCCTTGGAGTCCAGGTCAAGTGGTTTGGGACTTTATTTTAATAGGCAAAGGGAAACTACCTAACATTTCATGGCAAAGTGACATACTACAAGAAATGTCAGGAGGAAGGCATTGGCTGCTGTATGTGTATAGATGGATTAGTGGGGAAAATCCAGAGGCAAGGAATCCAGCCAGTGGGGTTCTGAAATAATCACGGTGTTAAAGGTCTGAAACAGAAGTGGGAATGGGAAGGAAGAGATATATTTTGGGGATCTTTGGAAAAAGAATTGAACAGGTCTTGATGATGCATCTCTTAGAGGAATCGGAAAGGATGATCTTAAGGTTTCCAATCTGAAAAATGATGCTTCTGTAAGGGCTTTTTATTTTTTTTAAATAAAAGACATTTATTCAGGTGATACAGTAAGCTTAGATACAGGGTAAATGAAATAAATACAAATTGCTCTAATTTAATGTGAACTGTTAGTTATAACTAAGAAAAGGAATCCAGACCTCTTTGCCAACTACTTCCTGAAGTCACTGACACCCAATGTTTTCTTGGGGACAAAAAGGTCAACAAATATCGAGCCTCTTGAGGAAGGATTTTGGAATAAGACAGAGAGACATTTACTTATTCTTTTAAAAAAATTTTATTTACCGATTTGGGAGAGCGAGAGAAACACTGATTTGTTGTTCTACTCATTTATACATTCATTGGTTGATTCTTGTATGTGCCCTGACCAGGGGTCAAACCTGCATCCTTGGCGTATTGGGACCATGCTCTAAGCAGCTGAGCTACCCAACCAGGGCCCACTGTCTTATTCTTCAGTAAAACCCCAAAGTATCTTCACTATGCCCTAAGCCTCCCAA